GCAGCAGTGCGGCTCCTGGCTGGGCTGCATCCTGCCCCCTCAGAACAGCAGTCTCAGCTCTCCTCCATTCCCCTGCCTTGCTCTTTCTTTGGCCACCTCCATCTAGCAGCTTCATGGCAATCACTGGCTCAAAAGGAGAAAAAATAAACAGAGGCTACTGATTAAAGGGGACTATTAATATTGAGGCATTAACTCAAATATTGTCCATGTTTTTCCAAGATTTTGCCCTCAAAAAGAATACAGACAACAGAACCCGACCCATTTTCCTTCACGTAGGATCTGGTGCCACTTGGGATGCCCCAGGCCATGCTGCCTGGCCTCCAGCTACAGGTCCAGAAAGTGTGCTATCAACCTTGAGTCCTATCTGCCATTTTCAAAGGTATCTCAATCACCATGGAGAATCAGAAGGAGGACAGGATAGCCATATGTGGGCAAATGATTTGAGTATAATCAAAAGAATTATTCTCATCAACTGAAGGGTCATTTCTGCTGCATAAATCTAGGCATTTAGGGTCACTTGAGATGCCTTTAAGTGTCCAACCTGGCCTCCTAGTGCAAGTCCAGAAAAGCATGAGTCTCCTGTAGATCCTGGGTCACATCTAAGACCCCCATGCAGATGTCTTAGATGGCTTAAGGCATCTCAAATGGTACCAGGTACGTGTGGGAGAGTAACTGAATTGTGTCCTATAGTCCGTTCAGCTGAGTTGTTTTCAAGCCTCTATTGACTAGATCTGAATGGAATATGAAAAGACCTTACACACATAATTTTCCTGTAGATATCTACATTTAGCTATCTTAATCTTGAACCGAATGCTATATGTATTTACCTGCCTCTAAAATAATTTCAGGTTTGATGTAATCAAGTGAAGCTATTAACTTCAATACTTACAAAAATATTAGACTTGTCTGCAAAGTAAGTGTCCTCTGAGCGGGTGTGAATCATGCTGTAGGACAAGCCAGCTTTGATGTTCATTGTTATATTAGTTGGTTTTCATTCTACACATTCAAACCTCCCACACTGGTGGTGTTTTCCATTAAACACCTATTAAATTCAAAATCAGTACAGACTTGCTGGGTTGTCTGAGGACCTCACATGCAAAATTAGTCTTACACAACTGCTTGTTATTGCTGAATTTCACCTAGACACCATGCTGGGAGCTGAATGTACAAGTTCTGAGCTGAACTTGCTTCAGTGCACTTGAGAACAAAGCCTGGGGAAAGGAGTACAACTTTTATACAACTGGTTGTAATCAATGAGTATGATGAAGGAGGAGAGCGGTACATGCTCACCGCTGTTCCTTAGTAATTCTGTAGTGGCTTCTGCCCTGATAGAATGTCAGAATGAAGAGCAAATATTCTTTAATCTGGTGTAGGAACTCCAGCGTTTTTTCTGCCGTCTCAAAGTGTAAGCAAACCTCCATCCATGACTACACAATTACAGCAGAAGGGAGCTCCTAAAGCTCTCAGCTGGAAGAATGTACCTACTACACTAAGGCCAAAAGCAAGAGGAGAAGGGCAGCCTGCAAGCAG